TTTGATAATTAAATCAGCTGTTTCCCAGTGTACTGCATTTAAGTCAACAGTTATCTTATGCCATTTTTAAAGTGTTAAACACTGCTTCCACAAGGATTAGTTACAATGAAACTTTGAGACTCGTGTAGCGGATTACAGGGCCGATTTACCGAATAGGCACGGTAGGCACGTGCCTAGGGCGCGAGGCAATTGGCTTTTTTGGGGGGCGCCAAAAAATTGGGAAATAAAAAAAATTGGTAGTTGTATTTGCATGATCGCAGTAAACTTCCAAAAATCCCTCCCGGCCGTGTAGAAATCGTAACCGACTCCCGCAATTGAGGCAAAATTCTTACTATTTTTCACGGTCGTGTATACATAATTATTGCCTTCCATGATCGCGGCAATATATGAACATTTCCCGCAGTCGTGAGGAGATAATTATCGTGTACCGCGAATGAGGCAAAATTCTGATCACCCTACGCAGCCGTGAAGACATCATTAATTGTACCCCGCGGTCGTTTGTTTATAGCAATTGCCTCCCGCGATTGAGGCAAAATGGTAATCATTTCATGCCATCTTGTGGAGATCATCATCGTGTCCCGCAAATGAGGGTAAATTCTGAATTTTCCCGCGAATGTATGGACATTATCATCGTGTCTTGCGCTATCGCCATTAAATTCTAAACATCCCTCGCGGCCGTGAAGACATCATTGATCGTCCCCCGCGGTTGTTTGTACATAGCAATTGCCTCCCACGATTGCGGCAAAATGGTAATCATTTCCTGCCATCTTGTGGCGATCATCATCGTCTTCTGCGATCGCAGCAAAATTTTTGCTGTTTCCTGCGTTCGTGTGGACATCATCATTGCCTTCCGTTATCGCGACAATATTCTGATCATCCCTCGTGGCTCTGTAGATATTCAATTCAAATCAATTCAATCACCATCGTCTTCTTCGATCGCGGAAAATTCTGATAATCCCTCGTTGCTGTGTGTAGACATATTGTCGTCTCACGCGGTCACGGAAACGTAACTATTGTCATTCGCAATGGCGGTAAATTGAAAATTCCAGGTGCATATACAAAATTCACGCATATTTCCTGGTTCAAAAAAACTCAAGCAGAATTCACGGATTCCCAGTTTTCCTGGTCGGTGGACACCCTGTATATATATATATATAGCAAAGGGGCGCTACTATATAGTTGTGCCTAGGGCGCTGACAGGGTCAAAAACGGGCCAGAGCGGATACCTGGGAGAATTTTTCAGTGTCATTATAGATGTGGCACTCTTTGATATGGTCTTCTATCACCACAACAAATTTTAAAAACCATTTCCTCAGCCGTCCAAGAGGATTTCCGTGTTGACAAACGCATAAGAGACGTATAAGATCTTCTCTCCTTTTGCTCGCTCCGCTCTATACATGGTTTTACAAGGAAATTGAGCTATTTAAGCTATTATGCTTTGTTTAATGGAATAATTTCTTATGGCATTCGTCTGTGGGGGAATGGCCACAGTATTGATAAAGTCTTGCGCTTACAAAAAAAGGCGATGCGTATAATCACACACTCAGCTTTTAAAGCACACTGTAAACCACTCTTTGTCAGCGAAGGAATTTTGACAGTGATTAACCAGTATATTTATGTTTGCCTGTTGCATGTTAAGCAACATCTGCATGAGTATCCACTCAGAAGTAGTGTGCATGGTTATTGCACTAGAAGCATGTCCTCACTCAATCAGCCTTATGTTCGTTTGAGTAAATCACAATCCCAGCATCGCACTATGTATATTAATCTATTTAATAAGTTGCCTGTTTCTGCACATAATGTGTCTTTCACTAAGTTTAAGTTGTCTGTTTACAATTGGTTGGTTGCAAGGCCATTCTACAAGCTCGATGAATTCTTTGTATTGCCTGTTGATATTCAATTTTAAATTCTGTCTGTCTGTGATATAGCCAAGGGCTGAGTTGTTTTATAAGTTATTTATCTGTTTGTTTGTTAGTATTGTCTTTAAATTTTATACTCTTTTCTTGCCCCTGCTATGTTTTTTTCTAACTTATTTTAAACACACTGCATGTATTGTATACACATTGCACCTGTTTTCATGTTTGTTCTAGTCTTTGCATACCTATGTTTTTTATAAACTTCAGTATTTTATTTTTAAGATGACTGTGATACTTTTGCATGTACTCTGCACTTGTTTATATTTTATTGTCTATATTTATTTAGCCTTATTGCCTGTAAACTTTAGGCTACTATTATGACGTTCATCCATTGCATGTGTTGTACATAGCGTTAACGATGAATAAAAATTCTTGATTCTTGATTCTTAAAATATGAACCGAAATCGGAATGCTTTTACTAGAAGAGCTATTAAATAGAAATCTATCTTCCATATACTCATATATTATCTATACTATTATAAAAAAGAGGTGGTGTCTGTGTGTGTGTATGGGAAAAGTAAACGCGAAAACTACTGGTCGGATCGGGCTGAAATTTGGCATGATGATAGCTCACATTCCCGATTAACATATAGGCATATTTTTATCCCAAAAATCCTTTCGGGCTCCGCCCCAGTGGCTCTGGAGTTTCCCATGTTAACCTTATGAGAAATGAAATTATTGAATCTTAACAGCTGTTTCAATTAAACAAGTTGGTTCTGTTCTGTGATGTTCAATAGCATTAAAGTTACAAGGATTACCAACAGGGTGCAGCACTAGCACTATTATTTCTTTTACATTTATGACAACAGCAAAAGGTGAGTGAGCGTAGCGAACAAACTTCAACCTGGAGGCGAGTGAGCGTAGCGAACGAGCTAACCTGAAGGCAAGTGAGCGTAGCGAACGAGCTAACCTGAAGGAAAGTGAGCGCAGCGAACGAGCTCCAACCTAAAGGTGAGTGAGCGTAGCGAACGAACTTCAAAAAGAACCGAAATTTCTTAAACCATGTCCTCACTCATAACTGCTATAAGCATTTGATACTTATATGCCAACCCCGTACGAAGGACGGGTACTCTGCTAGTATCCTTATATATAATACTTGAAGGAAATTTATACAAAACACTATTTATTTAACAGTAACAGTAAAACAGTATTTTTTGTCCAGACGCCTCCTTTCACCAATTCCTACGATAAAAGTAATCGGGATTTGCCCCACAGGCCATCAAAATCACAATGTATTTTTTATGATGAAAAGTTTTTGTTTACTTAAATAGACAAATAATTTGTATTAATTGCATACTAAAACAGCTGTTCATAGTGAACTCATGATGCACACAAGAGCGTTCGTTTTCAGAGTGAATTCATTTTCAATTTCAATAACTGGAGTGATTGATTATATTATCTTTGAGTTGACTTCGAGTCGTCAGAAATTATCACTGTTACTCGTCTTGAAACTAATGCCAGTAATACTTTGCAATTGCTCGAATTCGAGCAACAGGTGCACTAGTATACATTTAATAGGCAAACATGACTTTTTATGATAATTGTTTTGAAGTTGTCACAAAACCGATCACCATGTTCAAGGTGTCGTTGGATAGGTTGATTTGCCACCAAACACAAAATTTTGAAATTCCTAAAGACCTCTGCCCCAATTGTCTTCTAAATTTCAATGTTATCCTTGTGGAGAAAATGTTTGTTTACATTTAAACAGATAAATAGGCCAACTTCAAAATTTCTACTAATATTTTAAACAGTTGATTATATTTAAATAGTAATTCATTCCTACATAGGCTATTAAGATAAATTTAATTATCCTTCGTTCACAATATTTAGGCAATTAAAGAAAGAAATCTATCCCCTCCACTTGACCATTTCCTTGAAAATAATAGCTCAACTGCTGATTAAGCAACAATGTATGTATATACAAATACCCCCGCCGCAGCAAACCTGCCGACTAAGCGAATTTCCATTTGTCTGAATTGATTTTCAGTTAAATATATTTTAATAACATTAGGTTTAACGAGTACCTAGGTTTGCTGCTACAAGGAAACTAATAAAGTGTGTTTTTGAGTAAAATATTGATAGCTTAGTACAAAATAAATAAATTTGCCAAGTTTGATCAAAATATATTCATAAACAAGCAAACTACAACATTTGACAATATTCTCCATAAGAATAACATGGGAATTTTAAATTTAAAATTTTTTTAATTTTCTCCGTTACTAATAATCGAACAAAAATACTTTTATATACTAAATTATTTGTTTTTTTTAAGCTCTTTAAAAAGGTCTAAAGAGAAATTGGGAAATTTTGTGTTTTGAGGGTCAAAAGGGAGAAAAACCAATTTTTACCCCATAAAACCCCCCGTAAAGCCCCGTTCCCATGGTCCGATCGTGCTGGTTCGCGAACTCATTCAAGTTTATCCCACTTTACACCTTTAAACCAAATTTCATCAAAATCGGACAAACATTACTCAAGTTATCGCGTTCACGGACGTATATATATATAAGTCTATATATATATATATATACATATATACAAATTTGAACGAATAGTGTTTTTGGCCTCTGGGGACATCAAAATGAAAAAGTAAAACGGTCCCGGGTCTAGGTCTTACCGTGCCACCTACGGTAATAGCTACTTCCCTATAGGGAAATTCGCTAAAAAGTGGTGGGGGAGCTTCCCCTCAAACCGCCTTGTGAACAAATTATAGTTAAAAATCAAGAGATTTACTGCACTAATTGTTGTGTTTTTAAGATCTGTGTTTTACTGCAGCATGACTAGCATGATCTAATTTGTTGAGGATACAATGTCAAAAAACTTATGGCTTTTTATCCAGTTTCATCTATTGTAAGGGATGGCACCTGCAGTCTCCTGTGTGATTGTTTATGATAGGTGCTCCAGAAACATGATCAGAAGTTCTTGATATTAGTATATTACAATATTATCCATCATTGAAAAGAATATTTGATGGAATCATATTGGTAGCGATAAATGGGTGACAAAATTGTAGGAAGTTTTCAGAGAAAGTGTATTTTCAATCTTCAAAGGGGATTACATTTAGTTTGGGATTTTCTCGGGACGGGATTTGTTCCAACCATCAGCGATTTTGCGGCGTCGTGATTAATGATATGATAATGCAATCGTGGAATATGTTCACAAATTTGACATAATGGCATTACATGTTCACGGTGGTCCCAAGATCGAAGGGGAGGGGTTCACACATTTGCTGTGATCCTGGGAGATGTCCAAGATTTTACTAATGTTATTGGAGCACGATGATGATGTCCTCCGTGGTTGTGGGAGCTATATAAGGTACAAAATAGGATTTTAGACACTAGCAGTATTACATCTGTGACTGGCTCACACAATTAATTAACTATGGCGACAGCTGATTCATAGATGGGAAGTCTACTTCAGTATCGAATAGTCAATGGTGTAGCAATGTATGCTACAACTTTTGGAATCACATTAACTGTTTTTTATATCACTCAAATAATTGGATTTCTTGATGTCATTGGACATTGAAAAACTAAAGAAAAAGACAATCCCTATATGGATCCAGGAATCCTGTCGGTTACTTCAGGACGGTTTCTCAACTTCCTGTACAAATGATGAAAATCACTATAAATTTCCCTTCCAAAGTTCACAGGATTACCTACTCATGGCCATCATAAAAAGTCTTTGAGGAATAACATTTTATCATTGCTCCTCGTCAAGACTTAATCATCATGAGGTGCTTCCATATTGAATGATATCACAACACAAAGCGAGCAAGCATAGAGGGAGGATGTGTCCATTCCAGTTAGGTACTCATCTTGAAATAGTAATTGAGTAAGCTACCATCCTAGCTATCTGTGTACAGCCAGGCACAGCTGTTTACATATCCTAAGGCTATACACCCACTAGAGTGATCTGTATATAAATTATTATTATAACTGCAACGATTTATTTTGTTTCTAGAACCAAACGCACACTGTCCGATGTCTGTAGAGAGAGAGCAGGGGATTTAACAAAAACTGCCAGTTCAGCATATACAAGTTTCTGATGCATGTACAGCTATGCCGCCTAAAGAAGGTACTGTTATTTGCTTAAATATTGTATTAATAATAAAAATACTGTAAAGTTTACAAAAAGTAGTGATATTTAACACTAATAAAAAAAAATTAAAAGAATAATCAAATATACTAATAACATTTTACCTTGTGATTATGGGACCTCTACTTCAAAAAATTCATCTCTTAGAAATTAGTTTGAATTCAAGCGATAACTATTCATTGGTAATGTAATATATCCCTTTTCTACCAAGCCTAATTATTATGAATAGTAAGTAAACCAGTATTAAGAAGATGAGTAATTGGGACAAAACCACTAAACTGAGATAATTAGATTAGGCATGTGTGGATTTTCTTAGACATATCTTTGTCTAGACATTTTGCTGAGCCGTACTATACTTACTTACTTACTTACTCCTGTGGCCATGTAAACCCAAGGTGGTTTTTAGCCTCGCCAACTCCGCCTCCATTTTTCCCTGTCTTCGGTCAATTCTTCTCTTTTTTCTTATCTCCCAATTTTCTTACATCTTTCAAGACTTGGTCACTCCAACGCAGTCTTGGCCTTCCTCTGGGTCTTCTACCATTTGGTCTACCCGTGTATACCTGTTTAACTAGACTCTTCCCTTCTTAAAACGTGGCCTAGCCACCTCAATCGTTTACTCTTTATTAAAGCAATTAGGTCTGGCTCATTATATAAGTCTCTCAGTTCACTATTTTTCCTTACCCTCCACACTCCTGCTTCATGAATAGGTCTGTATATTTTCCTAAATACTTTGTTTTCAAAAGTAATTAGCTTTCTTTCTGAATACTTTGTTAAAGCCCAGATTTCACAGCCATATAGTATTATTGGTTGAAGTATCGTCTTGTAAATCCTTATTTTAGTTTTCTTACTCAATAATTTGCTGCTTAATACCTTATTCAGGCCCCAGTAGCACCTTTCCGCAGATCTTATTCTACTAATAATTTCATTATCTTCTCTATTATTACTGACTACTGTTACTCCTAAGTATTTAAATTCATTAGTTAGTTTAAAGCTATGGTTCGATACTTCTAAAGGTGCTTCATTAATATCAATTTCTCTACATATTTTCATATAATGTGTTTTGTCTTCATTAACTAACAGACCAACTTTTTTAGCTTCCACTAATAAATTTTCTGCTAGATTTATTAGGTCCTGTCTATTTTCTGCAATAGGAGCCGTACTATAGACAAAAATAATTAAATATAGACCAAACGCAGTTCTGCGGTTAGCATATGTTCTGGCGTCCACTGCTAGGAGTTCCATGTAGCTACGGCGCACACCGCTGCATTGTCTGCTGATAGCATACAGCGAGGAGACAATGACGGCAACGAATCGAACACAGAGCATGCTCTAGCGGTACATCGCGGAACCTTCTTTTGACAGTCTATATTTATTACATTTGTTTTGAGAAAGGGTTGGTTTCCCCAGAAATAAGAAGTAAAATCGTATATAACAATCAAGCCTTTATTTTAATTGAGCTCTAAAACAAACAGCAACCCTACAAATAAGACTATTATAACTACAATGTGAGAGCCGACTACAGAACCGATCTGGAGGCTGCGCATTCGCTAATCTAGGTTCCCTGTTTTACGTTAAACCTTTGAAACCTGAATAATAGGAATGAACTTCTCCTTTTTTACTAAAAAATGACGACTAAACGACAACCCCTTTGACTCCCAAGTTATTCTGATAGAACAAAACTGAACTCTACTCTTTCTCCCAAAAACATGACTTAACTTTTAAAACTCCCCGTCGGAGCTGACCTCAACAATAGTAATTACTACATACATACGTAATTACTACTTTTGTAATCATGTCAAAACATTGGTTTGAGTATGTCAATTATTCGGAAATAATAGTTAAAAACATTGTTTGTTGCAGATATCTCACCTGGACGAGTTATGAACCGTAAAAAAAGATCAACCGTACCATTTCAACACTAAGGTGATTCAAGACTCGATAGTGTGAAGGAAGCAGCCATCTGGATTCCCCTGTTTGCAGGTTTTTGGTTACTGTCATACTAAAAGTATTACCTTTATTTTCATATAGGGTGGGTCTTTGAGAATCATCCTTTGGATTGAATCTCAGCACTTTTACTGAAGAAAGACAGGTTAACCAGCACTGGTTTTTATTACCACAATTTTTGAACAACTGTTAAGCAAGCCCATAAAATATGAACATCAAACAAAGTGATGGTGTTGAATAAACAAAAAATACAGAAGTATTTTAGCCTGGAAAGGTTGTGAACTACAACAAGTAGTCAACAACATCTTATTTTCCCAAAAACAGTCCGACATATGGGATTGGGATATATGCAGTTCTTTGATGCTGCAGTTTTACAAAGTATGTAATTGACCATACTTTACAACAAATGTTTATGACGAGCAACACGATTGTTCAATAGCAGAGAAAAATTGGGAAAGTAGGAGTATTTTGGCTTGGAAAAGTTATGAAATACTACAATTGGTCAACAATTCCTTCTTTTCCCTGGAACGAACCGACACATGGGACTGTGATTTATGCAGTTTTATGATTCTGCAGTTTGCAAGTTTTCTGGGTCCTGTCCTATCAAACGTTAACGTGCATGCTTCTGGATTTGTTACGAGGGGAACCGATGACTTGTAATCTTGTGGATTCCTAGCACTACATTTATTGCAGACTCTTAAGTCAGTTCATCTCAGAGTTCAGAAGGTCTTGAGCACCTGTTATTTTTTGCATGTATATATTGCCTGTAAATATTGCCTGTTATTTTTTGCATGTATATATTGCTTGTTATTGCTTGCCGTATTTATAGCCTTGTCTACCCTGGAACGTACCGATACACGGGACTGTGATTTATGCAGTTCTATGATTCTGCAGTTTGCAAGTTTTCTGGGTCCTGTCCTATCAAACGTTAACGTGCATGCTTCTGGATTTGTTACGAGGGGAACCGATGACCTGTAATCTTGTGGACTCGTAGCACTACATTTATTTCAGACTCTAAAATCAGTTCATCCCAGAGTTCAGAAGGTCTTGAGCACCTGTTATTTTTTGCATGTATATATTGCCTATTATTTTTTGCATGTAAATATTGCCTGTTTTTTTTTGCATGTATATATTGCCTGCTATTGCTTGCCGTATTTATAGCTTGTATTTATAGCCTTGTCTACCCTGGAATGGACGGATACACGAGACTGTGATTTATGCAGTTCTAAGATTCTGCAGTTTGCAAGTTTTCTGGGTCCTGTCCTATCAAACGTTAACGTGCATGCTTCTGGATTTGTTACGAGGGGAACCGATGACCTGTAATCTTGCAGACTCCTAGCACTACATTTATTTCAGACTCTGAAATCAGTTCATCCCAGAGTTCAGAAGGTCTTGAGCACCTGTTATTTTTTGCATGTATATATTGCCTATTATTTTTTGCATGTAAATATTGCCTGTTTTTTTTTGCATGTATATATTGCCTGCTATTGCTTGCCGTATTTATAGCTTGTATTTATAGCCTTGTCTACCCTGGAATGGACGGATACACGAGACTGTGATTTATGCAGTTCTATGATTCTGCAGTTTGCAAGTTTTCTGGGTCCTGTCCTATCAAACGTTAACGTGCATGCTTCTGGATTTGTTACGAGGGGAACCGATGACCTGTAATCTTGCAGACTCCTAGCACTACATTTATTTCAGACTCTAAAATCAGTTCATCTCAGAGTTCAGAAGGTATCGTACACCTCTTGTTGTTCATTCATAACTCTTCTGAGCCAAATTTTTCAGGAGAGTAATCAGCAGCAAACACAAGTTCCAAGTATTTACCATGATATATTATTACTCTATTTCATATGAAACTATTGAAGAAAATATCACATATAAAGTGAAATCATAGGGTAAGGGACAGAATGGTTCCTCCATGACTCTTCTGAGACAAATTTTTCAGGAGAGTAGTTTGCAGCAAACACTAGTTTAGTGTAGACCAAATATTTATCATGTATGCCAAAACTAGGCATGAATATAAAGTACAAAACATACAAAGTACAGGAACAAAAACAATTACTTGTAGGTTCTTTTTCAGTTGATATACCTCTTGCCCTCTTCTAAAAACTGTCTTTTTAGACTCTGTTTTAGATTTTACAATTGTTGTGAACGACTAGTATGACCATGGGAATTCGTAGAATCTGCTTCCTGACATCTTAGAACTTCCTATACAAAGGCGATGTGAGCTCTGCCTCCTCTGATAAATGCTAAGGTAATTT